AGGACCTGCTGCGGGCGCCAGCCTCCGGTCGCACCTGCCTGCCTGGACCGGCGTCCGGCTGCAAGGCAGGGGTGGGAATCCCTTGCCCTGTTAGTCGGCTAGTGAGATCTAGAGAGGCTCCCCGCCAGTGAGAGCACCAACTTCGGAGTCTGTGTACCGGATCCAACTTCCGTGGGCCGTTTAATCACCCCTCTTTGCCATCTTGCCCTCTCACTTCTTTTTGGGGAGGGGGGATGGGTGGCTTTCTTCCAGCTGGTGTTTGCCAGGTGATGCTCATTTCGAGTGGTCCAGTCCTTTGGGAGTTACTCAGGTGCTACCCAGTGGTGTTTTCCTGGAGCCTGGGAGACTTGGTGCCCCGCACTGTGCGACCCTGGGGCCTCCTCCCGTGCTGCACTCCGCAGTTGGGTGCTGGCAGTTTCGGCCAGGGCGCTTTTCCTACCTTTCCCCCTCTTTTCTTTACTGTTATAGCGCGGTGCTCCCTCGGCCACAGCCCCGTGTGTGCATGTGCGTGTGCGTGCGTGTGGACTGGGACTCGGAGGTTCCACTGCTTCCTGTGCCCTTTCCCCCTGTAGGGTGAAGCTCTGGGCCTCGGCTTTTGGCGGGGAGATAAAATCCATCGCGGCCAAGTACTCGGGCTCCCAGCTTCTGCAAAAGGTAAGGTTTTTGTGGTGGCAGGAAGTGATGCTTTTTCCCAGCACAGAAAATGGAGGCAGATTTAGTTTTCCAAACAAACGTGAGCCCCAAGCAGCATCAGTTATCAGAGGCGTCTCTGATCCCCCGGGTTCTTGGCATGGTGCTGTGCAGTGACTTCTTCCCACCAACCAGTTATTTTTAGATGACACTTGATTCTCAACACAAAGCGGAGCAGGATACTCACTTGCACTGTCCTGGCTGGGGCTGGGAAACAGTGTTTTTGCTTGGCTCTCTTCTCAGCGCCGGTATTGCTGTTTCAGTGTGAGAGCAGACAGATGCTGCTGGGGCCAGAAAAGGCCAACTTCCTCCACTGGGCAGACTCGGTGCCTGTTCCCCGGTGCCTTCCACCTTGCATTTGGAGGAGTGGGGTTCAGAGTATCCGAGGAGGATGTTGCTCCGTTGCTGGTCATCCCTGCAGCCTTACAGCCCCGTTATTCCCCAATCATCGAGACCCAGGGCTGGGATGCATTACATCATTACAGATAAGGAGAATGAATGTGGTTATCTTTCCACTCAGCTGCACTGCCGGGTAATAACCCACGAGAGTAGTCCACAAACTTAAGAAATTGGTCTGTGTCCATATAATTCTAGAGAGTAATGAGAATGGAAAATTGATTATTAGGCTCTTATCAGAAGCGTGCATCAATTTTCATTCAAACGGGCGGCATTATGCTTAAAATTACACGGTGAGATGTATGGTTCTTCGTCCTCCCCTCCAAGAAATAAAAAGAGCGGGCCAGGGAAGAAGAGAATAGAGGGGTTAAAAAGAATTTCGACTTAGCAAATCAACAAGATTGATCCCAATATGCTTTCAACAGTAGAAAATGAAATTGGCCTTTAGGGAATAATTCTCTGAAAATGGGTACAAACAGCTTAAATTGTTAAGTTAACTTTTAAGCATTTTTAAAATGTGCTTTTTGGGCCAATGTGCCATATGTGTTCTGCATGCTGCCTGGTAACCAAGTACGTATTTTATTTATGGCATTCCACTTCAGAGAGTAGCATTTTTTGGGGACAGTATATGAAACAGTCTGTCACATGAAATCCAAATAATCGTAATGAAGCATCAGACCCCAGTGGAATGACAGGAATTATCCTGGCTTAAAAATTGCCAATATCCATATTTCCTTGAGATGACTTGAAAGATTGTTTGTTCAATTCCGTTGGAAAGAGTTCATTTCTAATAGGGATTAGATAAGAACTTGGGGCTATGATGAACATTTATAATTTATATACCCATGTCCCACCTCAGAGCTTAATTTTCCTCACATTCTTTTAACCCAGACCACCCTGGGCTCTGCTTTGGCACAGTGCCAGCTCGTCAGATGGGTTATGTGAAGAATTCTGGACTGTGGTCGTGCCTGTGTATTTCCCTTATGCTTTTAAAGAAGAGAACGTTTTGTATAACTTTAAGGAAATATTTCTCATTGCATGTTGCAGTTGTAGCAACTCTGAAAGAATCCCTTCCGAACCCGTGAATGTATTTTTGGTTGTGCTTACATATCTTGTATCTCACATTTGATAGGCGCACATGAATATGTGTTTGCCTTCTCTCTGAAGTTAACACACACACACACACACACGTATACACAAACACATTGCACAAAACCCCATCAACTCTATTATGGGTTGCTGTATAACAGCAAATTGGAAACAGCGAAAATGCTTCTCTTACCTTCTCATCAGCACCCTTTCTGAGACGGAATTCACTAGCCTTGCTTTGCGTTTGTCATGTTTGCAGCTTGACAATTGTGTAATTATTTCCAGCTGTTTATGGCTTTGTTGTCATTTCTTCCTGCTGCCTGGCATTCTGCAATCTGATGTGAGGGGAAGGTGAGGTATTACTTGGTGTTAGGGTCCAGGGTGGGTATCTGCTCTAGTGCTTGGATTGCAGTTGTCTGCCGTGTGTGTGTCGGGGGTCCTCAGATACCCCCGCATTTGGGTTGCTTGGCAAAGACTTTCAGGAGTGATCAGAAAGGCATGCCAGACAACTTGGAGAGCATTTTGATAGGTATCTTTTGGCCATTTTGGTCCATTCCCTGCCTCCCTCAATGTGACTATATTTTGTAAATTATCAAAGAACATTGGTTTAGAGAGTCTCGAGTAAGACTGGGAAAAGATCTGAGGAGTTCAGCTCCTTTTAAACATCATTTTGAAAAGCAAGGGGACAGTTGTCTCTCTCTATTCTTTTCAAGTTTTGGGCCATTTGCATCAGGGCTATGACACCTCTAAGTCAAAACTCTGTATGTGGCTAACCATTATGTCACTGTATCTTAACAATTCAGATGGCTTTGAAAATGCGCAACTTGAGTACTTGCTGGAAAATGTGTTAACATTGTATGAAGGGGACCCAGGTGACAATGCTGTGTTGCATAAGAGACTGTAATTACACTTTAAAGGGATGGACTTTTCAACTTGATATTTAGTTAAGCAAAGTACACTGTATACCATTGTATAATTTTGCGTACTTTATGTAGTTTTCCCTAATTCACCCTTCCTGCTGTGAATCAATGTACTATGTTCATTTTTAGAATGAGTATTTAGTAATATTTGCACTAAGGCCTAAACTTTACAAAGTAGTTATTGTGAATGTAAGTTAAATCATAATTGGCCATCTATTTTAAGGTGTTTGGAGACTGGGAAAACTGCCATTTTTGTAACATGTTTTTATTCGGTAATATAATTTGAGGTAAACTATTATTACTGACTCGGTCAATGTAAACATGAACATTTCACAATGTATCTCCTTGTCACGGCTTCAGTTTCTGGGTTCGATACCACAGCTTACATTATTTCAGCTTATGATAATATATTAGATATTCAATGCCAGGCTTTCTCTCCCCCCCTTTTCCCCCCTTCTTTTTGTCTTTGCTGAGGACAGGAATAGCAACCTATTAGTTCCCTATAAAGAGGATATTTTGGAACTTATAAAATGCACTGAGCCATGTTTTAGCCAAGTTGTGTTTTCGGTATAGAATGGAAGATTGTGTGGCTTTTGTGTCAGAGTTGAGTTCATCTGGGAAGCATTACGGTTGCTGGAGAATCGTGGGCCGTGAAAGTCCAGGCTGGAGTGTCTGGGTAGCCTTCCTTAGCTGGCGGATACTGCGAGGCTCTCTATTCACTTCAACTTGCCATTAACTTTCCTGTTTGATATATTCTTGCCCGTATTTAGCTGTCCGTATCTCACTTCACTTTTCCCAGCGGGTGTGCTTTGTTTGGGTTCTTCTGGGGAGGTATAGTTTTATTACCTTTGTATTTGGGACTCAGTGAGAAGCATCCATGCAGGTCTAGGAACCTAGGTTGTTAAACCCATGGGTGCCAGACTTCTAACATTCACAATAAAAGACATTAAACGGTGTGATTCTCATTTCATCCTCCCTAGGGAGAACTTGGTGAGAGCTGGGGTTTTCATTCTATTTAGACCCGCATTCAGGGACTGAGTGTTCACGGGAATGAAGGGTTCCGATTACATTTTCTAGAATCGCGATGATAAATACACAGCGGAAATGCAGGTAATGCGTATCTCCACCATTAACGCTGGAAAGGAGTTGACATGTACCTCGGACGCCTCGTGCAGCACTTACCAAGCACACCTTTCTTGGGAGCTCGGCTCGGCCAGGTTTTTGCGTTATCAACTCTTTATTGAGAGGGTGGCTTTCCTGCATACACTCGATGTCTCTTTCCACAGGACAGAGTCAGCAAAGTCAAAGGTTGGTTCGTCAAGCCACGTTTATAATTATGACTTTTCATCAATGTGGAAATCGATGAACTTCTAAATAATTAAATAGGAGTATTCACTTATCAGGGATTGGGTAGCAGTGCAGTGCTGCCTCTAAGTCTGTCACTCCATGGGTTGCTTTTGTGGGGGAGGCGCCGTTTCACTGCACATCCGTGTTGAATAAACACGGCTACTCGCCACCAGAAAGACAAATGCATTCACCCTGTGCCACCCATGCCTTGATGCAAGGCATCACTTACCATTGCTGGCCGTATCCTCAGCAGCTTATTTGTAAGAGTCTTGAAATCTCTGAAATGACAGTTTTCCACCTTTCGGGGCAGTTTACCAGCCTCATTAGCCCAATCACCAGGACATTAGCAGAGCCGGGTAAACCAACCAGCGTTGGTTTCGTGCCTCTCCCGCAGAAATCGAGCTGCACTTGTGAGCTGACACGTGGTCATTTGCTGAGTTGTTGAGCCTTTTTTTGTTCATAGTTTCTTTTTATTTTTTTCTTCCTTAACATTTCTTTTCTGCCAGATCTGTTCCTCCTCTCATTAGGAACTGCTGCGGCTGTTGCTCACGCCTTTGACAGATGCTAGTCCCAATGCAGGGAATGTGAAGATCCAGGGATGGCTTTCTGACGGGAGGCCAACTTCAGGTGTTCCATTTGAATGTGGTTGTAGTTTCGTGGATTAGTATGGTGATCTGAAGTTGATTTCAGTAAATGAATTCATGGCTTCTAACACTGGTGTGATTGTAGGCAAACATAAGAAGCCCAGACCACCTAGTAACTCTGAAATCCATGGGGCATGGGCAAGCACGATTAGTGTTTCCAGTTTTCCATGAAGACAGAGCCATGTGTCAGGGTGGACAAAGGCAAGAGAAACGAGAGACCATTACCCCAGCACCTGTGGCCTTTCGGGGCGGTGCATTTCCTTGCAGTTGGAAGCATGTGTTCAAGGAATTACAAGTTTGGGATTTTAGCCCTTTTCAGCCTTTGATTGGCATTTAGTGCTCCCACTTATGTCGATCAATAAATGACTGGCGTATTGGGCTTCCTTAAAGCAGTGTGCATTCTCATGCGGGAGCCTTTGTTTCAGGTCTGTCACCAATCTAGATTTGCCACCAGAGAGGCCAACAAATGGACTTATTTTTTTTTTTTTTTGGAGAGATTTTTCACTGTAGAGCGCGTGCGCTCGCCAGACAGATAGAGACATAGAGACAGAAAGCGAGAAATCACCCC